GTGTGTGTGTGTGTGTGTGTGTGTGTGTGTGTGTGTGTTTATGTGTGTTCTGTTTCCTGTTTTGATCAGTAGCTTTCTCTGGGGGTCAGAAGCCCGTGGCTTAAGGCCAGTGCCCCCTTCTGTTGGGGGCCTGAATCCTTTTGGATATTCCAGGTTGCCCAGAGAACACCTCCCCAAAAGAAAACCCTCCACCTGTTCCACTCCAGGATCAGAACACTTGCTTGTTTCCTGTTCAGTCAGGGTTGGCTCCATGTGGAGGTAGGGAAAGCCAGGCCTCTCATCCAGGGCCCCTGCCATCTAAGAGGAAGGCACACAGGGAGGGGAGATAGTTCCCTGTGGTGCACACTCCCTCTGCTCTTGCTCCTCTGCCTGCTCTAAGTAACCCAGGGGAAAGAGGACGTTTACTCCATCTTTCATGATTATGTTTCCTGTCAACCAATTATCCATATAATTGAAAAACTGAAAATTAGCATTTTCAGTAGAAAAACCCCTGAGGCCCAGGCAAGGAAGTTACCAAAGACAATGCTGCCAGGGCAGATGGATTTTCCCTTCTGCCCAACATTGACCAAGGGGGCATTATTTTCCTCCATTTTTCTTTTTACTTAAATTAGAAACAAGATTCTTCTACATGTCAATCACCAGTTCTATCTCCCCCCAACTAACACCCTACCTATCTCATACCCTTTCTGCTCCCCCTGGAGGGTGAGGACTTCCATAGGGGGTCTTCAGAGTATGTCATAGCCTTTGGGACAGGGTCTAGGCCCACCCCCATGTGTCTAGGCTCAGAGAGTATTCCTCTATGTGGAATGTGCTCCCAAATTCCATTCCTATGCTAGGGGCAAGTACTGATTTACTACAAGAGGCCCCATAGATTTCTGAAGCCTCCTTACTGACACCCATGTTCATGGGGTCTGGATCAGTCCCATGCTGGTTTCCCAGATATCAGTCTGGGGACCAAGAGCCCCCCCCTTGTTCAGGTCAGCTGTTTCTGTGGGTTTCACCAAGGGGGCATTTTTCACTGGGTCCTTTGAGAGCTATACTTGAGTAAGCTCTGTTTCGCTGGCTGTGGTGCCCGTTAACTGGTTTGGGTGACATTTCCAAGAAAACCAGTCTCTTACTAAATTATTCAGAGTTTGACTGGCCATGCTAGCTAGCTAGCTCTGGAAGTGGATCTCAGCCTTTGGATTCCTGCACCCACAAAATCTCAACCTATTTGGACACATAGGTAGGAGCATCTAATATAAAGCCCAAGATTTAAGAGAAAGAGTGGAAGAGTCTGCTAAAAGGGCAGAGGGGTGTGGGACTATTGTCTTAAGATGCAGGAAGCAGTTGCAAGCCATGCAATATAGATGATGAAGATGGAAAAGGCAAGAAGTCTGTGAAACCTATGTTAGACTTCAAACTTCCAGAACTATGAGATAATAGAGCTTTGTTGTTTTGAACCATTACATTTGTGGCAATTCAATACAGGAGCAATAAGAACGACATACAGAGTAAAAAAAAAAATTCCTGTCTCTTAAGAAATTGTTGTTTTTCTAGTGGATAGATTTTAGTTCTCAAACAAATGTTTATATCTGGCACAAAAAAGGTACTGGTTTATTCAAACAGGTTCAAATTTGGCTGGTGCAGATATTCAAAATGATGAAATCCATTTCTAAAACTAGCCAGTCAGACTGAGAGATTTTTTTTTTTGTAGGAGAGCAGTTTCTCAGGGATACCACATAACCAATTAGCCAGCAGTATAGCCAACCAAACATCAACCATGCTATTCACTTGTTTCTTGGACAAACGAATCACACAGGATGTTTCTCCGGCTTCTCCAAATCTGTTTTCTAGGGTGTAACATTATCCTCTGAGATCTCAATGTTGACCTTTCTGGAAGAAGCCTGTGGATACATCTTTGTTCTCTGATCTCTTGGTAGCCGCTCCAACAGTGAAGGACTCTTGCTCAATAGAGATGTTTGTCCTGTTCTATCCTTGTAATTATTCTAGATTCTACCTTGACTTCATGAAGAGTCCCTTCATAACACCTTCCTTGAATGGCTTGTGTGAGCACACCATCTGTTTCTCACCTGAACTCTGATTGGTAGAACTGGGAAGTGGGGCCTGCACTTACCCAGAAGGCCAATGATGGCTGATGTAAGCTCCTTCATGTGAGCATTCCAGAACATGCAGCTGAAGTTTCTGCCAGGTTGGGGCTTTAGGCGCAAAACACTGGTGACCTGGTAGAGGCCTTCAGGGGTCCTGGTGTGGCTGGTGTTGGCAGGAACACTGACGTTTTGCCAGGACACTTCTGCTAGTGGGTAACCTCTAGCCTGGCAGGTGAGCTGCACCTCCCCTGTCCCTGGGACCTCTAGGATCCTAGTGTCTATCTTCTTGTAAGAAGCTGGACAACAGAAGAAAAAGAAGTTTTATTCTGATTGCTGTAGAATTCTACTTAATGCAAGAGGAAATAAGATGATCACTCTTGATCTTAGATAATACATATTTTTAATTTAAAAGATATTTTCTATGTCGCAGGTACATTATTTTGCATAGATTGAATAGTTTAATTAGTACAATACTACAAAGATGCTATATTGATGTCTCTAGTCTTTGTTGGGGTTAATTGAAGATGGGTATGTTGAGAGTGGTGTGCAAAGTCAGAAGAATAAAGAGTGGTAGACCCAATGTTTGAAATAGGAAGACTACAAACTTATATCTTAGCACTATGCTAAGATGCCATATTCTGTGGCCTCTTGTATTCTAAACAGTCTCAGAATCAATAGGTGGAGAGAGGTGAGAGGATGAATACACAATTAGCACTAAATAAACCCAACAGATCACTTCTCCAGACATTGTCAGTGGAAAGTTTACTCAAAATTTCCCTTTCCTTCTGTTATCTTTGAAATTAGGAGGAGGAAAATAAGGACCCTATAAGAGCTGTAAGTAATTAAGAGTTGGGTGTATTTATTATTACTTCTCAATACAGACATGTTCTGAGCATTATATGGCAAATGAATTATTTCTGTGTGACTCCCTACTTTCTAGAACATGAATATCTGAAACTGAAAGAAGACAATTGGAGAGTCAGGAAGCACAAAGACTGTCCAACAATCTTAGGTCATACCTAAAAATGAACAAATATTAACACCACATGTATAGTGTTGATAGTAAACTGTGCACTTTTTGGTGATGTAGCATGTACTGGCTTTTATTAAGTGGGAATTATTCCCTTAAAGAGACATTTAGCACAATCATTGAAGGAAAAGCAATTTTGAAGTGAAAACACAATTGTTGAGATGGTTAATCTTGTCAACCTAATTGGATGAGAAGCTCCCAGGATATTGGCAAAATGGGTGTGTGTCTGTGAGGGCTTCTCCAGAGAGAATTAACTAGTGGGTGGGAGGTCTACCTTGAACATGGGCAGAACCATCCCATCCCAACGAACTAAAGAGAAAACGAGTCATGATGGAAGTTCTGCTGTGTGTACCCTCCTGCGCACGTGGACTGAAACCTCTGAAAGCATGAGCTATAATAAATCCTCCTGATCACATTGCTTATGTCACGATGTCCCGTGTCACAATGATGAACAGTGGCTGCTAACTGCTGTGTCACAACAGGTTCTTATGCTAATAGAATATGTCCAAGCATGAAAAAAAATTTTTTTTTTGGTTTTTCAAGACAGGGTTTCTTTATGTAGTCCTCGATGTCCTGGAACTCACTTTTGTAGAATTTGAGGCTGGCCTCAAATTCACAGAGATCCGCCTGCCTCTGCATCCCAAATGCTGAAAATTAAAGTGGGAAATTACCAAATAGAGTAGCCGGTTGTGGTGGCCAACGCCAGTAGGCTTTGCTGAAGGAAGCAGAGGCAGTCGGATTTCCACAGAGAAACCCTGTCTCAGAACAACAACAAAAAAGAAACAAAAGGAAGTAAAAGTAGAATAGTAAAAAAGCCACCTAGAGATGAAAAATGCACAGAGAATCTGGATACTAAATGCCATACTTAAAAGTAGAGAATTAAATTTAGCACAAGCAAGCAGGAGTACATGTGTTCACTTCTTTCTGCTCTCCACCCTGGATGAGATACTGAGTTCCTGCCTTGATTTCCCCTCAATGACAGACTATAATTTGGAACTGGAACTGTAAGCCAAATAAACCCTTCAAATCTTAGTTGCATTTCCTCGAAGTATTTGATCATAGCCACAGATATGAAACTAGAATAGGGTTTGAACTGGAAGTCTATGCTTCCAGATCAAGGTAAGGGAGCAAGGAGGAAGGGGCTGTCTGTTCTTACCCATGCTCTCCAATGTAAATCATCCAGTGGTACCCCCCAAACAGGGAGAGGAGGGAGCATCGTGTAGTCATGCAGCTATTTGCTTAACACGTGGTGTTCATTTCCCATATGACTGTACATTCTTGTGTGTTGCTTACTTTTTCAAACACTTAGCTGAGAGCAGAGATTAAGGGACCATAATACCCGGTCCTAGCTCTGTAACTAGACATTATCTTATTTAAAGTGTACAAGGACTCCATGAGGTTGGTAAAATTTGGCTTCTTTGCTTGTAAACAAGGAAACAATAGAACCGTTGAGATGCTGGGGAGGTATGAACCCCTACATTTTATCACACTACTTTGCATTGGAAATGCCATAAAGGAATAAGAAGCAACATAAGCAGGAAGAATGCATTCCCTTGATAGATCTAGTAATACCTAGAACTCAAAGAAAATGAAGAGAATTGGGTTCTGACAGTCTACTGAATGAGTTGGCCTGGTCTTATATAATCTTCATGGAACCAAGTTTTGGGCTGTCTCTGGCAACCAAACAGTATCTAAAGCAATCTTTGGAAGTAGTCACTTTACGTCTTATTTAGCCAGACTTTACACCGCATCTTATTTCTATCTTTTGTGGATTGGGGAGTAAATTTTTTAAAAAAGCAAAAAAAAAAAAAAAAAAAAAAAAAAAAAAAAAAAAACCAGTAGTATGCTGTAGGTGAAATCCAGACAACTCCTGCAGGAGAGCTCCAAATCTCCAAACAAAAAGAAACTGATCTGGGCTGAGCAGAGAGGTGATTCTAAAGATGGAAGACAGGACTGAGAATCGGGGCCTGCTGAAACTCTGCCTCGTGACATGTAGATGTAGGGAAAGGGATGGATATTCAGCTAAAAGAACCATCAGGGTTTGGGGGAAGGGGTGGAAACCCACACTTACAATTACAGCTTCCATAGCCTCCTTTTTATTGGGGAAGTGGCTAGAGAGGCATCACCCCCAGCAAGGCATAATAGGGAAGCTAGGCTTTTCTTGAGAAAAGATGAACAAAGTTTAGAGTTTCAGTGGGAGAATTTAAAGTCCACGAGTTCCAACTTCCTGCTCAATGAGAAGTGTCTTCTCTGGCAACTTTGTTAGTTAACTACCTTGGTAAGTGTTAGGCACAAACCTAACAGAAACAACAGGCAATCTGAGGTTGGTCAGGATGGATAAGTGTGTTGTTCAAGTCTTCTGCTTCATATTTTGTCCTATCTGTTATAGCAGAGATGAATCAAATGACAGGGATGAATCAAAGGCAGAGATGAGCCAAAAGCTCACATACATACTTATTTGTCATTGTCATCATTGTCATTGTCTTCATTTTGTCTTCAATTTGTTTTTGAACAAAGAGAACTGAAATTTATTAAGAAAGTGAGAAAAGCCTAAGAGGCCTCCGCCCTATACAAAGGACTACAGGCAACTAAGGGATGCTGAGAGTGGAGACAGTCTTCCTCAGGGAAGAGAACAATGATTGGTTAAACTAAATGTTCATCCCTAAAAACACACATGTAAGTGACATTGTACAGACCGAGCAGGTTGTATTCATGTATGCAGAGTGTGTGTGTGTGTGTGTGTGTGTGTGTGTGTGTATACATATACATACACACATATATACACATATATGTACATGTATGTAGCAACATATGTGTGTAGCAACAATTAATGAAGAAACTAGGCCACGACTTTGAAAAAAAAAGTATTGGGAGGGTTTGGATAGATGAATAGGAAGGTTGAAATGATATAATTATATTAATCTCAAAATATAAAAATAATTTAAAAGAAGTTAAAAAAAAGAACTGAGACTGGGTGGGGCTCCAGGGGAGGAATAGCCAACTTTCCAACTTATGTCTAATATAATGAAGATATATTGTCAGATGCACATACATTTAGAATAGCCATTTCTCTCTGTAGAGCTGATTCACATCACTATGAAATGTGGCTTTTTAAAGATCCTGCCATTCTTTTTGTGGCATGGAAGAACTGTTTAAAATGCAGATTGTATTGACATTTTCATACATGCGTTACTGTACTTGGATGACAGTCACCTCTCCATTACCCTCAGTTATATACCCCCATCCTTTCCTCTGGCAACCCCTTTACTTTGATGGCATCCCTTTCCCTCTTAGGTTCCACAGATGAGACCAAACATATACATTTCTTCCCAAGTCTCCATTATGTCTCTTTATACAACAGTTTCCAGTTCTATCCATTTTCCTTTAAATGATCTGATTTTGTTCTTGGTTATAGGCGAATACGCCGTTAAACATGCATACATTTTCTTTATGCATTCATCTTTATGCATTGAGGGCAACTAGACTCTGACTTGGCTATTGTGAGTAGTGCCACAATAAACATGGTGGGTATTTTTATTCTGTGCTGAGTTAGACTTCTTTGAACATATACTCAGGACTAACTATTATAGCTGGATCAAACCACAGTACTATTTTTAGTTTTCTGAGGAACCTCTATTCTGATTTTCACTGTGGCTAGACCAACTGAAAAACACTGTCTTTTATCTTTAGTAACATCTATTTTTTTCTCATAATAGCAATCAGTTAGCTACCTTGTAGTTATATCTATAAATGGAAGTCCCTACTTCCCCCAGAAGCTATCTTTGCCATGAGCACAACAAGTAACTGAACTTCCAAGTGGGAAGCTCATTTTTGTGTCATCAGTTTCATCCCAGAGACACATGTTTGGCTGAGTAAAACACATGTAATAAGCTCAGTGGCTAAGAACTTGGTCTTATAAATCTGAAAGGTATCAGCCAATGGCTGGTGACGTGATCTTTCAAACTCCCAGTTTTCTCATTAATCAAAGGACACTTCCCTCCATTTCTGTCTTTGCTCTGGTGGTTTCTATAGCAGCAGAATCATTTCATTCCTGGCACCAGCTCTCACTGAAGAGTCTATGAAGTGATCATCCTGGGGTCCATCAGCCCTGGCTTTCCCCTTTATCTCTTCCTTGGCACCATTGCTGATGTGACTCGGTCCCTTGGTCCCCTGTTGACTTTTCAGCCTCTAACCTTAAAAGAATGATAACTTTCTACTTTTAATTTCTACAAATTTCATGGTTTCTATTTCTCTGGTTTGTGTGTGTTGGGGAGGGGTATGTGGTATATGTTTCTGTGTAATGTGTGTGCAGGCGGGCATGTCCACATTGGAGGTATGTGGTATATGTGGCGTATATGGTGCATGCTTCTGGGAGCGTGTGTGCGCGTGAGTGCGCACGCGCGCGCACACAAGCTCGCTCCTGCATGCATGCAGATGGACATGCCCAGGTGAAGATCAGAAGAAATCCCTGATTGTCTTTCTTATTCTCCACTGTATTCCCTTGAAACAGGGTCTCTCACTGAACTTGAAGTTTACTGTTTTTGGCCAGTCTGACTCTGGCCAGCGTGCTCTCAGCTCCTGCCTGTTCCTGCCCTATAGGAGGATACAGACATGCATTGTTTTTTTGATTTTTTTTTTTTAACGCGGGTGCTACGAATTCAAACTCAGATCCTTATACTTGCACAGTAAGTGCTCTTACCCATCTCTCAGCCTCCATATCACTTGTAAGACAAGAACAATCTGTGCATACAGTGTTATTATTTTAATCATCATAGTGACTGCAAATACGGAGGGAAACATAGTTCTTATATGCTTTTGTCACCTTTCTACCCATGGCTTCTCTTCAGCTGCCTTTGCTAGGCCCTTTGTCCTCATTGGTGGTGAATTCCCTCAACAGGAGCCGTGCTGCCTCTTTCCTCAGCCTGTTGAAGTCCCACTCATATCTTCTCGGGCTTTGGTTGGGTTAAAGTACTGCATTCCCCACGATGGCTCATCTGTTTCTATGCTTAGCTCCAGCTTGACTGTGGCCCAGTGCTCTATTGCTCTGAGCAGGCCTTTGCAGGCCTCTTCTCAACCTCAGCAGCTTTGTGAGGCCTTGGCCTCTCTTTCAGTACCACTGTTACTCTGCTTCAGCAACTCTCCCGCCTGATGGCTCTTAGTCACGTGGCTACAGCCTAGTTTTCCGGAAGCCACCATCTCTTCTGGATCATTTCCTCTTTCTGCCTCATCATTTTTCTATCCTTTAGAAACCAACGCTTTTCCTTATATTTAATATGAGTCATGGTGTGGAAAGAGGTGTTACATTCCTATTGTCCAGATCTATCCCCTAGATTTAAAGGTAAAACTAACCCTTTCTCTGCTCATACTTCGTTTGTAGGATTCTTCCCTGGGTCCCAGATCTGAGCTTCGGCATCACCATAAGTTACTCTTACACGTTAGTCTTTAACAATGCTCTCTGCTTACACTCCTCTGATGAAAATCAGGACACAGTGTTCCCTCTTGTATGTCACTTCGATTCTCAGACTTTTCCATAAGCTTCAATATTGAAAAATACATATTTAGGATTTTACAAATATTTGTATTTTCAGCAAGTAATTGTTTTATTCTTACAACACACATATATGTTTGGTAGTTCTCTGCTTTATCATTCTTAACTGTCTTATACTTAAAAACACTATGTATAACTATTGAAATTAAATGTTTCCTTATCACTGTGGGATTTCAGGTGTTCAAAGTTAGGAAACACCCACAACTATATGATGATCAGATTATTTGATTGTGTGACTGAATGAAAGATCTATTGAATATAATTCGATCCAATCTACTGCAATGATTCAGAAATGATTTCGAGATCTTTCCATACCTCCATCAAAAGGGTGCCCTGTCAATACTGATGGATACAGCACACAGTTTCCCACACTCTACTGCCCTCCCTGTTTCTGCTATTTAAAGGATTATTTAAATTAACTTGGCTTTTAAAATACAAGCAAAGAGGTCCCTCTCTATAGGCAGAAACCCAGTAACATGCTAGTAAAACAGAGGCTAGAAACAAAAGCAAACACGTTTTAAATTTAAGTTCTCTGCTTGTGCTGCTCATGTTCTTGAGAGCTTCCTGCCTTAGTAGTAGAAGAAATATCCATCCCCAAAGAATACGAGTCCAGTTAGAAAACATGTAGTGGGGGATTGAAGTCAAATTAAAGGGGAATAAGTTTCTCTTTAAATAATTCAACTCCCTTAGCCTGTGGCTCTGCCCCACAAGAAATTACCTTACATATCTCTGAGATATCCTGGGAAACGCTGCAAATAGATACTACAGCTTTTTAAGTCAAACACCAATGGGCCCTGAATTGTAACCATATTAACTCTATTCTTGGAGCCAATGCCTTTGAACAAAATTATAAAATCCTAATGACAACCCATGTTTCAGGTCAAGATTACAGTGTTAAAGAATATAGCTATAAAGTCCCTTCTGTGAAATTTGACCTGTAGTAGTTAAACAGTTCCTTTTCTTTTTCCTTTGATTTTATTGATCCAAAATAGTGAACATCCATAGTGGGTTCATATGACTTGGTGGCTACTGGTGAAAGATAGAGAAATACTGCACTGGTCTTAGCTGTGGACTCTTAGGCAAGTAGATTAACCTTTCTGTGCCTCATTTCATTTTCAAAAGGGAGGTAGCAATGCCACCTGTCTCACTGGCTTGCGTTTGGCTGGTGTTTTTCTAATAAAGGGATATCCTTATCATAAGCTCCTTTTGTTCCTTAATAGGGGTAGAACAGGCAACAGCCATGCTGCTCTGGGAGGCATGGGGTTTCTTTTCACACTTGTCTGGCACTGTGGAGGTTTTAAACCTTGGGGCAATGGATCATATCTGTGAAGGGAGACAGGCCTTTCATAAAGAGGGAGAAAGCAAAAGTAAAAGAAGGGGTGTTTCAGGGGAACCCTAAATGCTTTGCCTGGCGGTACATTCTCAGGTTCATCAATATGGGAAAGAGACAGGACAATGGGAAGCCTGTGCTTCCCTTACAGAGGCTGTGGGGATCAACAGGCCCCTCCATGACGACCATTGCTTTAAGGAAGAAATCTTCCTACACAGGGAGTCCTGAGCCCCGCAGAGGAAAAGGCAGGATGCCTCCTCATTCTGACTTCCTTTCACCACACTGTGTCTGCTGTTTTAACCGCTTTACCATTACTTATACCCGATGCCAAAATATATTTCCTTTCAGGTGCTTTTTTCCCCTTTGAAGCAGCTGCCTCTCATGTGGAGCATTATTGTAGGATGTAATACATTTGTTTATGCGGTGGAACATTTGTTTAATGATGCAAAGATGTATTGCATTCTTTTATGTTGCATTTGTTTAACTCTGTAAAGCTGTATTACTTTGCCTGTCAAAAACACCTGATTGGTCTAGCGAAGAGCTGAACGGCCAATAGCTGGACAGGAGAAAGGACAGGCGGGGCTGGCAGGCAGAGAGAATAAATAGGAGGGGAAAATCTGGGAAGAGAAGATCAAGGAGTGAGAAAAGGAGAAGAAGGACCTCAGGGGCCAGCCACCCAGCCACACAATTAGCCAAGGAGTAAGAAGGAAAGAAAGGAATATAGAATAAAGATACAAGCCCAAAGGCAAAAGGTAGATGGGCTAATTTAAGTTAAGAAAAGCTGGCTGGAAATAAGCTACACTAAGGCTGAGCATTCGTAAGTAAGAATAAGCGCCACCACCCCCCCCAAAAAAAAGAGCAAAGAGCCGAAAGAGTAAAAACCAAGTACAGCCTCTTTCAACCAGGTTTTCGGCTTTTGCTTGAGCTACTACTGAAAGTAGCATGCTATTGTGTGCATTTGTCACAACCCTCCATCAGAGGTGACTTGCAAACACTCACCTTTGACCTTCACCGTCAGGTACTTGTAGTCCCAGGCAGCCCCGCAGATGACCAGACAGCGGTACTGCCCAGCATCTCTCAAGTGGACACTGGGGATGTGGAACAAAGCCTTCCCTAGTGGCAGCGCCTCCTCCAGCAGGGTGGCTCTTTCACTCAGCGAAGAGGTATCGTTTTCTACCTTCTGCAAGCTGGCTCTGATTTCTCCAAGCTCCGTGCATTCACTGAGGTCAAAATCACACTCCAGGCTCGCGTTGCTGCTGAACTCTACTGTGTACACTTCCTTGGGGACTGTCACTGTGAATAAAGCTGAAAGGGAAAGACAGCTTGCTGTTGTCTAATTCTGTCACATCTCAGTTCTTGTAGAACCGGAGCTGTGCTCCACCCCTGCGTGATCTTCCAGGAGACCCCTGTCATTCTCTGGGCTTTCGCATGGCTCCTCGCTTCCCTTTTGTCCCATATAGAAATGGCGGAGTTCTTGTCTCAGCACGCTGAGGTGGTTTTCTTCTCTGAACATTCCCACCTGCACAGCTGATCTCCACTCTTGCTTCTCCTGAACACCCCAGGAGGAGCTTCTGATGGGCAGGCCTGCTTGCCCCCAACATCCCACCTCAGAGCCCTGCAGTCAGCCCAGAATATCCCTCTTGTGAGACCACAGGCTGCCCAACCATTGAGGGCTACCTACATTTTATTAATTGTCATTATATCTTATCATCTGGGCTGATTTTATTTTGTTTTAAAACTCTCTTTGCCAAATATCACCATCTCTAACCAGTGATAGTAATGGCATCCACCTCTTACAGAGCTCTTAGATACACTTAGATACACCAACACCTCATTTAGTCCCCCTGGAAGCCAGTGAGACAGGTGGCATTGCTACCTCCCTTTTGAAAATGAAATGAGGCACAGAAAAGTTAATCTATTTGCCTAAGAGTGCACAGCTAAGACCAGTGCAATATTTCTCTTTCACCGGTAATCACCAAGGGCTTGTATACATGCCTAGGGGCTGCTGAGAGGTTGGTGAGGATGTGCAGTTCTAAGACTGTCTCTGGGATTAAAGGAAATATTTGATATCAGTTTTATAAATGATAATAGATGTCTTCTGCTATTACCCCCTGTGGTGGCGCACGCTGGTAGGATTTGCAGAAGGAGGCAGAGGCAGGAGGATTACGAGTTCGAGGCCAGAAAAAGAGGCTAGGGTCTCCACGTGCAGTCGTTAAGAAGCTTCCCTTAAGTCACCTTGGCTTTCCTTCACCACGCCCTTATGGGCGAGTCCCGGATCCACCTGGTACCTGTCCCAGGACTATTGGGCGGGGCTAGGGTGTCTCCCTACAACCCCCACTGTTGGAAAGTTATTTAAGAGGATGCTTGAATAAACCGTGGACTCCAGAATGAACTGAGAGCCCTCCTGAGGTGACAAGATGTCTGTGTTTCATCCTTAACGCCGCTGGGTAGCTAGGAGTTTCCTGATCCACACTCCCCCGCTCAGGGAAGGACCTGGGGCTGTTCGGCTGGTTCCAATTGCAGCCCCAAAGACATCAGTCCGGAATAGATGGCCTCTGCAGCGTGGGACTGATACAGGCCCGACCTGTCATCATATGAACCTACTATGGATGTTCACTATTTTGGATCAATAAAGTCAAAGGAAAAAGAAAAGGAACTGTTCAGGCCAAATTTCGCAGAAGGGACTTTATAGCTATATTCTTTAACACTGTAATCTTGACCTGAAACATGGGTTGTCATTAGGATTTTATAATTTTGTTCAAAGGCATTGGCTCCAAGAATAGAGTTAATATGGTTACAATTCAGGGCCCATTGGTGTTTGACTTAAAAAGCTGTAGTATCTATTTGCAGCGTTTCCCAGGATATCTCAGAGATACGTAAGGTAATTTCTTGTGGGACAGAGCCACAGGCTAAGGGAGTTGAATTATTTAGAGAGAAATTTATTCCCCTTTAATTTGATTTCAATCCCCCACTACATGTTTTCTAACTGGACTCGTATTCTTTGGGGATGGATATTTCTTCTACTACTAAGGCAAGGAGCTCCCAGGAAGATAAGCAGCGCCAGCAGAGAACTTAAATTTAAAAAGTGTTTGCTTTTGTTTCTAGCCTCTGTTTTACTAGCGTGTTACTGGGTTTCTGCCTATACAGAGGGACCTCTTTGCTTGTATTTTAAAAGCCAAGTTAATTTAAATAATCCTTTAAATAGCAGAAACAGGGAGGGCAGTAGAGTGTGGGAAACTGTGTGCTGTATCCATCAGTATTGACAGGGCATCCTTATGATGGAGGTATGGAAAGATCTCAAAATCATTTCTGAATCATTGCAGTAGATTGGATCAAATTATACTCAATAGATCTTTCATTCAGTCTCACAATCAAATAATCTGATCATCAAATAGTTGTGGGTGTTTTCTAAGTATTTTCATTTAGTGAGAGGTTAGCTTGGGTTCAGATCCCAATAGTAGCCTGATTAGTTAGGAGCCTCTGAGTCAGGGCCTGTCATTTAACTTCTACGAGTCTGTCCGTTTTCTTTTAATGAGGCTAGTATCTATCTCTTGGTTCTGTGGGAAAATGTGGGCAAGGTGGAACATATGTATCACCCATATCTGTCAGCTAGCAGGCACTCAGAAAACATTCTTCCAGGTGATTGTTTAGTTCTTGGGGTAGTAGTAATCCATATACAGAAGGGCAGCCGTTCTTTATTAGCCAGGATGTTCTGTGCCTCTTTCCCTCTCTTCCTTCTTCCCTCCCTTCTTTCTCTCTTCCTCCCTCCTTCCCCTGTTTGCTTCCTTTCACTGACTGACAGGGTCTCACTATGTAGCCAGGCTGGCTGTTACCTCAGCCTTCTAGGCCCTCAGATTGTAGGTGCATACCACAATTGCGGTGAACTAGGGTATCAATTAACCAGGATGCTTGTCCATTCCCTGACCAACTCCATAGTCTGAGTAATTCTGTGTTTCCTGCTGGTTGATGACTCACACTGCAATTCTCTTTTAGATTGTTTTTGTTTCTAAGACAGTGCCTTGCTAGGTAGCCCCATATGGTCTTGAACCCAAGTCCTTCCAATCTCAGCTTCCAGGGTCCTGGAGGTGGTCCGGGTGTGGTACAATACTCAGTTTACAAGTCTTTTCTAATTCAAATATTTCCTTCTGTTATCCTCCAGACCTAAGAAGTTAATGATAAGATTAAGTTTGCTTTGATATTTTTTCCTAGTATCTAGCACGTTAATCTCAGCTATGGAGAATCAGGGGAGGGAAAGGGAAGAGTAGTGAAGAAAAAGAATATGAGCTTGATTATATTTATTTCTCACCAAGGTGTATTTTGCAACAGATCACAGGAATCAGCAATTCTTGGTTAGCATCCAGCATAGTGGATGGTGATATGCACCAATGAGCTTTACCAAAAATGGCTGGCAAGTTTATTTCCTCCATTCTGTGCCTTAACTACAACTAGAACATTAATGTGCATCTCTACAGAGGTCTGTGGTACAGAGAAGGTGCACCTATGCCCAGCATTTGTTTGTGCAGCACGGGGCTAGGAGAAAGACTCTAAGGTGTGTGCTCCTTTGCAAAACATTGCTAATCCTGCATGCCCTTGCTGGATCAGGCTGAGAAGACCCTGGGATCATATTAGTGGAGAAGGATGCTGTAGTTCAGGAATTCCTGTATGATTCCATTTTGGAGACTTCACTGCATGCTGAAATCACAAATTCCTATGTGCCTTATGCATAGTTTCCATAACAGGACCCTCTCAGTATTAAGATCTGTTCTTATGGGAACTGTAATAGTTTTCTCAATTTGATGGGATTTGGAAACATGTAGGATATAAACCCCTGGGCAAGTCTGTTAACGGGTCCAGAGAGAGGCTTAATTGAGCAAGGGTCCTGGGCTAAATAACAATGAGAAAGTGAGCTGAGACCAGCATCCATCTCTCTCTGCTTCCTGACTACAGATGCAATGTGACAGCTGCCTCACACTCCTGCCACCGTGCCTTCCCTGCCATGATGGACTGTGTCCTCTCAAATTGTGAAACAAAATAACCCCTTTTTCCCTTAAGTTGCTTTTTTTTGGCACTTTACCCCAGCCAGGGAGAAAAATGGCTACAACAGAAATCATCTCTAAATCCTTCACTTCCTTATAACTAAGAGATATACAAAATTAACAAGAGATTGTACAAAATCCACTCTGCCCTGGGAGGAGTTGTAATTATTAATCACTCATCAAAAATACACTAGCTACTTTCTGAGCATTTAATGTAGGAATTTATTTCTGTTAAAGCACATCCCCCTTTTAAATTACAGACATCCAAACAGAAAACAGGGAGATGGGTGTACAAGAAGTGGTAGTTGTGTGTCTGAGTGACAGGGCTGGATGCGTGTGGAGATGTGCCGACTGACTGACCTGACTGACATAGCTCATCTGTTTACCACTCTACACTTTCTTCTCATGAGAGGCACAGGCACTTCCCCTGGAACTCCCCATTAAACAGAACTTCCCCATCACGGCCCTGCCTTATACAGACATGGCTTCTCTTTTCTTTTCAACTGTTCCCCCGCTCTGCTTTGTCGAGTAGATGTCCCAGCTTTAGAAATAAAATGTTTTACCTTTCAGACAGGTGGCATTTGGGGGCTAACATTCATAAGTGGGTGAGCAATTAACCAACATAAACCATGCATCAGGTTTTTGAAGTTTCTCAGGATGACTGAGGGTTGTTATCTTGATGAATTTTGACTCAATTATAGCTTCTAAGATGTGCCAAGTCTTGGGCTTGATTACTCATTATAAAATGGGTAGTTTAGGAGAAACCACATACTTTTTTTGCAACATAGTTTTGAAATACTATAACTTTGGACTTTTGGTGTCATTTCATTTCACAGAGGAAATGAAAACACAATCAAGTCTGTGAAGAGCTCTTCTTCAAGGCTGTGTGCACGTTAGAGTAACCAAGCAGAAGGCCTCTGTCTGCCTGACTCAGGAGTCTTTTGGGACACTGCCTCAACCCATTCTCTGTTGTTTTAACAAAACACGAAAGGCAGTGAACTTTATTTCTAATGAGGGTCATTGCCTTCTGCTTCACCTGAGCACTAATTAGGATGCAGATGCTCAGGTTTGCCCCAAATGGAGAGAATGAGGATCTGTGAGGCAGACAATGGCATTGCTGCATTTGGACTGTAACTGGGGATAAGTGATAATTGACTTTTCTAAATGATCCCCACACTATAGGAACCCTTATATATCCATCTTATTGGCTCTCCCATCAACCTGTCAAAGTGGGAGATACAATCCATGTTTAACAGGTGAGGAATCTGAGACTTTACAAAGGACACAGTT